TTTGAGGTTAAGAAGTTTTTAAAAAGTAAGAACAAGAACCTCTGAGATGTGGACAGGAGTGTCAGGGTCTGCTATTCTCAGACTCCTTGAAAGCTTGTCCAATTTTGGCATTCTCATTTTACAGGGAGTACAGAGAAGTTGGAGAATTTTCAGAGAAGACTTTCAATACTACTGAAGTTAAGGGAAGTAAAAATAATTTTAATATAGAATAAGAGCTGAAGAAATAGGTTATGTTTAAGCAAGACAGGGACTGTAGAGCAATATCCCACTGGTATAGGTTTTAGCTATGACTAAGGCAAAGGGTGAAATTTTAATACTCAGATAAATTTGATTAAAAGGGAATTATAGTCAGGATTAGAAAACCAAATATTTTTGTGGTAAATAGATTTAATGGCTAGAGTAAGAAATCAAGGAACTAAAAGCAGTCTCAATTGTATGCCAACTGTTTAAGCTTTACTTAAAGTAAAATTAGAGTATGAAACCTATTTGACAATATATGCGTACAAATCCAAAAAAAAGCTCCCAGGACAACAAAAAAGCATATGTAAAAGCTGTTAACAATGCAGAAACTTCCACCTATTAAGTACATAAACACTTGTTTAGATGCAACATATATTTTATACTGACCTTTGCAGTTTTAATCAAAAGCTACACAAATATTTAATGTGGTTGGTTTTAACAGTTTAAATTAAACCCACAGTTTTGATGTGAAACAGAAAAGCCTGTGAGCTGACAGCCACAGCACATGGAGAGGAATGACTCTTAGACTTAATTATGTTAAAGAAAAAAAGGGAAAATTAGGATTGTTGCTAATGTTCAGATCTGAAATGAAGAATGAGGTAATTTTATTCCTTCATTATAGGAATCTGTACCGTGTTCTAAATCCTAGATCATACATAAAATTTTAGACCAGAAAGGAGCCTTTGCGATAGTGGCCCAAGCCTCCCACTGGACAGATGAGCAGGTGAGACTAGAGAGACGTGAGTGGCGGGAGGTCATGCTGAGGGCCCAGGCCTCCAGCTTGGATGCTTTCTATGTAGGCGTGGAACAGAAACTCGTGTTTCAAATTGCACAAAGCCACACACGAGCTTGCTCAAAAGCCCTTTGACTAGCTTCTTGGTCATATCAGCTTTGAATAGGTACCTAGTAAATACATCATTAAGCAAACCAAAATACATCAGAGACCCACAGCCAACCTTGGTGATGTGGCTGATGCCGTGGGGTGCTAGGTACTGATGTGTACCCTGATCTCCTTTGTTACACAAGAGTAAACTGAACTTTGCTTTCAGTAGCTCGTCCAGCCAAACTGGGTCTCCCAGTGCACAGCCTCATGCTTCAGGGATCTGGCATCCAGCTGGCTGTATATGTTTCCCAACTCCAAGGCTTCAGTTCTTGTCTCTGGCTCTTAGTTGGGGACCGTCTCCTTCTGAATCTTATGATAACAACCATTCTCCATGTCACTGAATTTCCAGAGTTGTACAGTGAAGGGTATAACCATTTTTAGCTGGTCTGTCCCCATTTACCCCCTTCTTTAACCTAAAGAAACCACTTAAACCTCTGGAGGAAGGGTTCCTGGTTCTTGTGTGCGTTTGTTTACATCTGTCATGTTGTAGAAGCTGATGTCAAGTCTTGTTATTAAAGTGCACTTGAGGACACCTGGCCTAAATGAAAAGGAGGTACCGTATAAAAACAGTGCTGATTCTGGGTGTCGCTGACAGCCATCTACAAAGTGCATGTGCCTTATGTAGTGTTTCAGAGACCCTGGTTGATTGTGAATGAAGTGGATGAAAAATTATCACTAAAATGAAATATTTTTAAAGGTACTGGTTATAATTCTCCTGGAACCACTTGGACTCAGCAAAGAGAGTTTTTTATTTTTTTTTAATGATTCCAGAGGTCCACCTTTGATGGTCTTCCTTAAGCTAATAAATCTAACCTCCCCTTCTGAGAAAAAAATGAAGTCTAAACTTAAAACAAGGTCTCATCACATCACCTCTTTATTCTTTTTTCCATTGAAATCAGGCAGCACACAATATAATTTGTTGCACTTTTTCCTCTTTCTGAGTACAGTTTGGTTGTGATCACAAATGTAACTTCTTGTTTTGAGCATTTGTGTAATGAATTGTAGACATTTTCCCTTTGAAAGGGCAGGCAACAGGGCCTTTCCTTAAGATTTTTCTTCAGATTTTCTCTACATCCTGTTTTATGTGTGGTTAGAGCAGTTGATAAGTCACGTGATGTTTTGCCACTTCAAATGACAGAAATAGAGGTTTGAAATAACCACACCGAGGAGTATCTCAAATGCTTACCAAATACCTTGCTCAAAAGCATTCTTTTCTACAGTTTGAAAGCTTTTTATATGTGAGCTGTCAGAGGGCTGGGTGTGAGGGCGCCAGCTAAAAACTGCAAACTGCAGCAGGGGTTGCTGGACGCGCCAACACTTCCCTGGAGTGTCTTTAAGCCCTATCACACACTGCATTGTAATTTGGGTTACAAAAAAAGCGAGGGACAGGATTTAGAACATAAAAGACCCCTCTTCTGGACTGTGTGCCGGTTTGACTGATGAAGACCTCATCCTAAGTTTAGAAGTAGGCTCACTTGAAAGTTGATCCAAACCAGTGTGTGCTGTCTTGTAGAAAGATTTTTAAATACAAGAAAATAGTTCTCAAGGTAATATAGTTTAATCACAACAGTAAATTTTCTATTTTGCAACACATATTCTCTCTTCATTCCTTTCCTTCCTTCAGTTTGAAGGAAAAAAAATCAGTTGGAGCTACTGAGTCTTTAAGTTGATGTGTTTCTAGAAACAAAGGGGACAGAAAAGGTGTCCTTCCCCACTTCCCTCCAGAAGAAAAAAGTCCCCAAATGGGGAGCAGTAAGAGGGTAGGTAGCTGTTGACACTTCTACTCCTTACTCTGAAGATACAATTGAATAACTTGTCAGATAATTGGAACATGTGATGGCTGTCTCAACCCTGAGAGAGATCCAGAAAGGGGGGAATGAGGACCCGGGGCTGCTGGCTGGGATGCAGCCTGGAGCCTGGAGTCTGGTTCCATCACCACCCTGGGGGCCCCCAGGCCTCCCACCCCCTGTATCTCCCAAGATTATTGGGGGGACTCAGAGAGTGAAGTATAAAGTGCTTTTTCTATTGTATTATGAAGCTTTTCTCAGCCCCATCTGATAATGTCCTAAATCTCAGATGTTTTGTTTCTTAGGGAATCAGGCATCCATGGACATTTCCCAGCCAAACTACCTGCTAAAACTCAGAACCAAAAATGAAGAGTAACCTCTGTCACAAGACAAGCCCAGTGCAGGCGGTGGGAGGGAGTGACTGGCTTTTGCCCAGAGAGGCAAACAAGTGGCCTTACATGCCCCAATTAAAGAATCCAGGGAGAGCTTCCTGCCAACACACAGATCCTTCAGTACTCCTTGAGCATGGAGCGGCAGGTCCAGTCCTAGCCATGACTTTCCAGAGCAAGCCTTGTCTGGTTCTTTTTGCTCAGTTCTTGGGTGTCTTACTGATGCCCTGTGCCACTGAGATCCCTGCAGATTGGTGGGATAAATTTGCATAAATTCTAAATTTGCATATTTAGAATAACCTCCCATGTGCTCCTGAAAACACACGGAAAAAACCCAAAGAGGGGCCACCAAAGGAGCTGCCTCACCTTGGCTTACGCAGAGAAAATCCTGCTATCTTCTGTGGTTTGAGTTGCCCAAACTTCTCAGCATTAAAAGAAAAACTGCCCTTGTATAAAAGATTACATTTGTCTACAAGCACTGAACTTTGAGAAAGTTGCACCTGGTCTTTCCATGGGAATTGACGTGAGAATCTCACAGGCATACTGCCTTCCTAAACATCCCTGTCAGCAGCACACCTTGCAATGAAAACGAGAAAAGTATTGGGAGAACATTTCTTTGGTTAGCAAAGTCCAAGGACTGCCCCTAACAGCTCTGAGAAGCAGTTAGAAACGGCCACTACCCCATCTGATCTCTTCTGTGTCTGTCTGGATGATAGAATTATTGGTTAAAACAGTTGTAGAAGAATATACCAGCTCTAAGTTTTGCCTCAGGAGTTAAGGTGTTATTAGGCTGTGACTTAAGCAACCCAAGTGAAGAGAAATGTATGAAGGATTGTGTGCTTCAAGGTGAAACTAAGTCCTGCAAAGCCACAGCTTTGTCTTCATGACCTGAGTCTGGCATTGCTTCCTGTGTTCTCAGAAACTCTGATAAAACAGCCCATCAATCTTTATCACTGAGCATGTCTCCGGAGTTACAACTACATATTTTTGTTGCATAGCAAAGAGGCTCTAGCTGATCTTTCCTGGATTTGGAGGGAAAGGATTTGCTTTTTCAATTGGATCTTAAAACTCCAACCCCAGAAGCATGAAAGAATCACACATGTTAAAATACTGCTGTTTAATCTTCTACTCTTGTACTTTAAAAAAAACTAATACAATTAGGTGGGGTTTTTAAAATCCTCTTAGCTCTGCCCCTGAAACCACAGCAAAGCAGCTCTGTATCTTAATTTCCAGCACTCTGTGTATGCAAATGGAGGGGGAAAAGGGGCTGGGAGGAAGCAGGTAAGGACACGTCCCCATCCCCACGGCAGGCAGGCCCAAGGGCAGGAGGTATCCAGAAATGTGGAGGCAGCCCTGTTCTGTTCACAGCCGACTTCATGCCCTTACGTTCTTTTCTATAAGGAACAGTATTTTGACACAGCACTGAAAACAGCAGACACAAAAACCCTGCCTTTTTCTTTCTTCTCTGCTCGTCCATCTTACACTTCCATTCCCACAATACCGTCTGTGCCACCGGGCCCATTTCCCCTAGATTATCTCTACTGAAAAATTATCCCTACTGAAAAATAGCTCTCTCGTCATTTATTGACCCTGACATTCATATACAAATGATGGACTTTGTAAAACTGCAAATAAGGTACAATGTTCATTGATACAATACGTTTCAACTGCAGGTATGTTGAACACGCAAGCAATCACCCGTATTGTATTAGAGACATTTTATTGAAAATGCGAAAATAGGAAATGTATTATAGCCTAAAATAAATTACATAACATATACAGCATATATTTATATCTTTAAAATATTTTTTGTTTGTTTAGGTTCTTTCAGTCTAGGAATTTTGACTAAATCAACAATTTTAGTGAATTGTTTCCATAATTTTTTAAAGGAAAAAACCCGCTTTCCAAAACTTAGAAAAATATACTGCACTAAATGGATTTCAAATGCATTATTTCAAGGACGATCACATAGTGACTTTTGATATCGTTATAAAATGTCTTGCTTTATCTGTGTGAGAGGGAAGTACCATAGGACACTCTGAATTACCTGCACCGCACAGTCAGGACTGTGGCGGCAGAGCCAGGTAACACATCTGCTTCAAAGTTACGATACAGCTACCTGGCATTAGAATGCTAGATTATGACTTAAAGCTTCAGTTCGCTGTAAAACTAAAATGGAAAGTTAGAATGCTCCATTTAACTCGCTCTGGTGCCATCTTCAGGAAAGGCAAGTGAAAAGCAAGCCTTTGGGGAAAGTCATGCGGAAGGATGCTGAAATTTGGAGATGCGCTTCTGTGACAACCTAGAGCAGCTAGCTCACATATGTACACAGTGGGGGTGAGAATGGACGCTCACGCAAATCTAGGAGAACGCAAAGTGAAATGCTAGCTACCGTGCGGCCGTGCAAGTTTGCTACTCCCATTCCGTCTCAAACCTTCTACAGGTTATTTCCACATGTCGGCCCGGCGTGGTCCCAGATCCGATCCTTGGTGTGAACGGTGGCTGCCGCCTGCCCTCTGCATGTGCGTGGTGGACAGTGATAACTGCACGACAGAGGGAAGCACTCGACCGCTAGGGCCTAGCTGCATCCATCTCTGCATGGCCATGTGACTGGGAAGCAAATCAAAGGAAGCCGAGTTTTAACCTGTTGATTCTTAAAGCGATGAAAAGAGACAGGAGAGTCTGTAGCCTGCTGGGCAGGGTGACCAAGAGGTGATGGCACAGCCGCAGTCCTTTGGTTCCAAGTGGAGATTGTCCGAGGGAGAAGAACACAACTTCGACCATGAGGCAGCTGTGTCTTTTGGGTTCTCAGAAGCAGGGGTGTGAAGTCAGTTGTTTGGTTTGTTTTAACAAAGCAACAGCAAAGACCCTTCTCTAGGTCCCCATGTCAGTGTGAGCATACCTAGTATGCTGGAGAATTTACACGAAACCTTTGAATCAAGGCCTCTTTCATGACAAAAAAACAAAAGGAGCAAAACACAATGGGAGAGGGAGGAGATGAAGCTGAAGTGTCATCCCGAGGGTCCCTGCAGCGCTTATTCATTCTCCTCTCTCATTTCTACGATGTCTGTCACCTCCTCTGTCTGAGGCATGTCAGTCATGGCAGAGTCTTCCCCCTCTGTGGCGGACTCATTCTCCTTCTTCTTTTTCTAGACCAGAGAAGACTCATCAGTGTGGGGCTGAGGACAGGCACACACCATAGCAGAATGAAAAGCAGGGAGAGGCCAGCAGGGTCTCATTTGTGGTTGGGCGACCTCAGGTTAGCATCATATTCCTTTCAGTTTGGTTACTTGTCCCACCTCCCTGCCCTAGACAGTCCCCACACTGCCATTTCCCCATGCCTTAGGGCCACCTGCAGACTTTTCCTCTTCCTTCTCTCTACAGCCCTGAACCTGGTACCTCCTGTTATCAGAACACTTGGCTCCTTGTTCTGGGACAGCTCTGGGCTGCTGTCACCCCTCCCCCATTCGTTGTCCTAATTACTGGTGACTTTCCTGCCACGTGCACATCCCTGCAGTAAGTGGTCTCTCAGCAATCAGACTTCTGCTCTACCTCAGCCACTCACGGGCTCACTGCAGACCTTGTCATTATCACAGACCTTGTCATTATTGACACCTTCGGCACCACCACCAGGCCAATGCAAGGACCACCGACCAGCCTCCGCCACCACCTCCTGATCCACCAGCCTCTCTTCTTTCACTGTGGTCACCTCAATGCCCCCCCTTATCAACTTAAATGAAATGCTCAATAATTACACCTCCTTCCTTGTCCTGCTTTTCTTTAATCCTGTTTGCCAGGCAAACCCTCACTCTGTGTAGGCCTAAATCTCTGCCGATCTCAGCCATATTCCTGGGCAGCCACAGCTGGGGGACAGTCATTGTCCCAACAGTGATGTCACTAGCTGCCTGTGTGACCTGCCTGACACTTTGCCACTCTCCTGGTCAACTGTTCTACGTGTCCTCCTCTTTCTCCCAACCTCCCAACACCTCCCTTTTCTCAGTTGATGATCTGGCTCGTACTTCCTGAGAAAAAGCAACAGAAAAGTACTTGTGACCCCGCTCCCCACCAGACCCACTGCTGCCCTCCATCATAGCCAGCATCTCCTGTCTGCTGGGTCATTCCCCAAGGCAAACCAGAGGCTGAACTTCACCCTATCTTATCTGGTTTTCTGAAATCCACATCCACACCTCTCTCTCTTTTAGAACAAACACCTCAAATGGGCTGCCTCTGTTTGCTGTCTCTTTTCTCTTACCCCATTCCCACCAGGGCCCTCCCACAACTGCCAGCCAGAGTGCCTGGGCAAGGTTACCAGTGAGCCCTGACTGATGAACTCCACCATCTGACGCAGGTGCCTCCTGCACTTTCAGAGGTGGCGTCACAGCCATGTGTCTCTCACCTGCTTCCGGTAGACGTAGCACGCAGCAATGGCAACCATGGTGGACTCTCCCACAAAGCCTGCCAGGAGGGAGCCCACGCCCAAGGTGGCACCATGTACCCTGTGGAGGAGAATGCACAGGTGATCTGTCAAAGCGCAGCCAGGGCACGGTAGGGTCAATGCCAACAGCCAGGAAGGCGAGCGCTGACTCCAGAGGGCTGAGGCCAGCAGCATCCTTGCCCTGCCAGCTGTGGTAGGGCTATACCTAATGACCAGTCATTGGGCTGTGTGGGGGGACCAGGAACTCAGGGCTGAGCCAGCCCCACCCACACCTCATGGATCCCACAGCACTTCCCAACCTCCCCAAGGAGATGGAGCCCCCTGAGGGCAGGGACCTGGCCTTCCTGCTGCTTGGGGTAGGTACTCAGGACTGTCACTTGTATAAAGGGGCCTTGCCCCAAAAGTACTTTTCAGAAATGAACCCCAAAGCCTCAACCTGGTGCTCACGCAGAAAAACAAAACATCATTCCAAATCTCTAATGTTAGATACACTGGTGGTGGGGGGGTTTCACAGGCAGATGGAAAGTTTAAACCCCTGGACAGGATACTTGAATGGCAGAAGGACCCAGCCCCAAGTCCCCCAGTGACATACCCCAGGTAGGGCAGGACCACGAGGCTGGCAATGAGGACGATGATCCGCAGCACAGAGCTGGGTGCCAGGACGAAGGTTTTCTTCAGAGTCATCAGCCACCCGGTGAGATGGGCCCTCACAGTGACTGCGGGAGGAGCACAGGCAGGTCAGCCACACCAGCCTCTGCCCCACTCTGTTGCCTCAGTCCAGGGGCTGGTGGGGAGGGACCCAGGCCTTGCTGCTGTGGCCTGGGCCCTGTCCCTGCTTGGCTTCCCGTTCCCTCAAAGATTTCTGGATTCAGACCTTTGGAGCTGCAGGCTCCTCGCACCACCATCTCCCAAGCAAAGATGGTCCTATTCACCTCCATCCCAGCCTCCACCTCTGAGCGTTATTTTCTTGAAGAGAAAATTCAAGAAAAACTGCACCTTGATGGGCTCTTGTTTGAAACTGGATGAACAGAAAGGCTGAGACCAGAAGCAGTCTTCCCCTCCTGTATCTGAGAGGAGTGTGGGGACCAGTGTGGTGGGCCAAGAGAGGAGCCTCTCTCTTCCCTCGGAGCTGCCCTGACCACCCTCGCTCCTCCCCTGGCCGTGCCCACAGTAGTGTACGCTGTTAATTCCCAATGATATACACCTCTGCGTCCCCACCCTGTGAGCTGCAAGGGGCAGGGGCAGGGACAGGGTATTGCTGCATGAGAGTGAGTACAGGACAGATGCAGCCTTGCCTGTGTCAGCAGGAACTGCCCTGAGCATCCAGATTCTATCTGAAGGGGGAAGGGCTTGAGGATGAGCAGGCCAGGCTTGGGGAGGAGTGGGGGATAAGGCTTGAAAGGAGGGCCCTGCCCCCTCAGTGGGTGGCACCAGGGGCTCTGGGAGGGGGAAGTGCTCCCTGCAAGATAACAACTCCTTCCCAGATGTTTCTTTGCAAGAAGCAGCTGGGTCTTCTGGGTCTAGCAGTGTGTCCTGCCTCCCCCAGGGTGGAAGCCTGGCATTTAGGAGGCTCATGCTGTCCCTGCAGGCACAGACAGACCACAGGCATATGCTAATCTGGTTGGGCCAAACCCAACAGATTACAGAGTGCAGCTGGGGCCTGGTGGCTGCCTGGAGGTGGAGGCAAGAGGAGATTAGGGGTCAGTGGCACACCCAGTGACAGCCTGCTCCCAGCTGAGGCTCTCTAGGACCGTGAGCCCCACCTAAGGGTCTTAATCTTCAAGCACAGCTTCCTATTAACAGCACCCTCCTGAGCTGTCTCACCCAGTGTCCGCCCAACAAAGGCCAGGCACCATCCTAGTGCTAGGATGTCCAGCCTGTGTCTGCCGTATCCAGACAGGGATGTCACACATCTGGCCTTTAGGGGCGCTCAGGGCTGCCCACGTCCTACCCAGGGGATGGTGCAGTGCTGGCGGGGCGTGCCATCGGCCCTGGCCTGGCCTAGCCCCATGGTTCATTTCTTAACTGTGGCTTTGTGGATCTCAGTTTAATGATTTAGGTAGATTTTTGGGGGCAATTTTTGTCTAGATGACATACATTTGGTATGGAATTTAAAAGGTACAAAAGGGAATACAGTATAAAGTCTTCCTCCCACACCCTTGTCCTGCTTCCCGCAGGCAGCCACCCTTACCAGCCTGGGGAGTGACCTCTAGAAACACAACAGATACTGAAGCAGTTACCACATACACATGGTAGTAGCAGCACACACGTGTGTGCGCCTCACGCTCCCTGTTTAGAACTACCTCCCTCTTGTGTAGTGCAGCTCCTGCTGCTGTATGAGCTTGGCCACGTCCACACTGGCTTCCGTGTTGGCCACGGGCGTCTTCCCTTCTGACCATTCCCCGTCTGGCCTCAGCTTGCCCCTGGAGCCCTCCTTTTCTCTAGCAGTTTTCTATCTGTGTGTATCTCCAGGTGTCAGCAGCGAGCTCACTCTACATGCATAGATTTGTGTAACTACCACCACAATTAAGAAAGAGACAGTTCTATTGCCCCCCCATGCTATCTTTTTAGGTTTATTTATTTTTTGCTATGTTTATAATCTCTTTAATTTTTTTTTTTTTTTTGAGGTAGAGTCTCACTTTGTTGCCCTCGGTAGAGTGCCGTGGTGTCACAGTTCACAGCAACTTCAAACTCTTGGGCTTAAGCAATTCTCTTGCTGCAGCCTCCCAAGCAGCTGGGACTACAGGCGCCTGCCACAACACCTGACTATTTTGGGGTTCTACTTGTCAGGCCTTTGGAGGCCTGGGCTGGTTTTGAACCCACAAGCTCCAATGTATGTGGCTGGCGCCCTAGCTGCTGTGCTACAGGCGTCAAGCCATATTTATTTATTTATTTTTGAGGCAGAGTCTCTGTCACCCTGAGTAGAAGCCGTGGTATCAGTGCTTATAGCAACCTCAAACTCTTGGGCTCAAGTGATCCTCCTGCCTCAACCTCTCAAGTAACTGGAACTACAGGCACCGGCCATAACTCCTGGCTAGTTTTAGAGATGGGGTCTCACTCTTGCTCAGGCTGGTCTCAAACTCCCGAGCTCAAGCAATCCACCTGCCTTGGAGTCACAGAGTGCTAGGACTACAAGGCGTGAGTCACTGCATGCCACCTGATAATTGCACTTTAAAAAACAACTTGTTCTATTTGATTCAATTTTTGAAACTTTATCCTACTAGCTAATATTTTTTTTCTTTGAGAGAGAGTCTCATTATGTCACCCTTGGTAGAGTGCCGTGGCATCACAGCTCACAGCAACCTCCAATTCTTGGGCTTAAGTGATTCTCTTGCCTCAGCCTCCCAAGTAGCTGGGACTACAGGAGCCTGCCACAATGCTCAGCTATTTTTTTGTTGCAGTTGTCATTGTTGTTTAGCAGGGCCGGGTTTGAACCCGCTGCCAGCCCTGGTGTATGTGGCCAGTGCTCTATCCATTGAGCTACAGGCACCAAGCCATACTAGCTAATATCTTTTATCTTTCTTTCTTTTTTTTTTTTTGCCAGAGTCTCAAGCTGTTGCCCTGGGTAGAGTGCTGTGACATCACAGCTTACAGCAACCTCAAATTCTTGGGCTTAATTGATTCTCTTGCCTCAGCCTCCCAAGTAGCTGGGACTATAGGTGCCTGCCACAGACACCTGGCTACTTTTTGGTTGTGGTTGTCGTTGTTTGGTGGGCCCGGGCTGGATTTGAACTCGCCTGACCAGCTTCAGTGTATGTGGCTGGCACTTTAGCCACTTGAGTTACAGGCTCAGAGCCATCTTTTATCTTTCTAATCCACTGTGAAATTCTACATTTTACTTGGCGATGTGATTGCAAACACTTCCAGAAAAAGAAGACTTAATCGGGCATGACAATAAACATTTCATTGGGTTTTTCTTTACCTGGAACTGGGAAGAAGGAGAAGATCCTCAAGGGGACAACGCAGAGCTCTGCGAAGGCAAAGTCCACCCCAATGATGTCTATCAGAATCTTCTCGGAAACGTTGGGGGTCCAAAACATCACAAAACAGAGCTGGAGGGGAAAAAAGACATTGAATAAGTTTGGGGGGAAATGGGACGAATGAGTGAAGTGAGAAAGTCGGGGGTTGTACGACCCCTAAGGAGTTATTGGGAAAGATGTTATGGAACCTGCCCTGTGGGTGGCCGGCATACCAGTCCGAGAGCTGCCACCTCCCTGCTTTGCAAAGCAGATCAGGAAGTGTGGCAACAGGTGCTTCTGGAAGTCAGGGTGAAGCAGGCCTCAGCTCGGGCTGGCTGAAAGTCTAGTTAGTAAGTAATTCACTCATAGTTCCACTTTCATTGCTGATGACTGGGTCTCCCTGAACTTAGCAGGACGTGGCCTCTGGACAGTCTCTAGGTAAGGTAAAACAGACAGTACCTGGCACGGTGGACGCACAGTCACTACCGGCTGAGTTAGGAACATACATGTTTGGGATTCTGGATTTTTTCAGATTTTGAAATATTTGCATTACCAGCTGAGTGTCCCTAATTCAAAAATATAAAAACCCGGGCCGCTGTGCCCACTTGCCCTGGCACTGGAGGCCCGTTCACTGTCCGCTGTGTATGGCAAAGGTATGTTACTGTTTAAGCTTTCTTACTCTGTAAGCCTGTCTTTCTCTTCCTCAATAAACTCTATTTTATACTTGCCTTCCTCCCCCTTCCAAAATACATGTATATGTAAATTTGTAAAATCTAGACTGCTCCAAGGAACATTTACTTTCAGAGTCATGTCAGCAGTGCTCACAATGTTCCAGACTTTGGAGCATTTAGGATTTCTGGATTAGGGACACTCAGTCTTTCCATGGGAAACATGGGGGACTTGAGTGTCCCAGCTTTCTTCTACTCGGCTCCCAGAACAATGGAAGACAGCTGAGTGCCTTCCACCTGCCACCTCCAGGCAAGGGACCCAGAATGGTCTCTGAGGAACTGACCAGCCTAAGAAAGAAAACCTAGAATTCCTGAAAATCAGGGGCTGCCAACGAAGTAGCCCCACTCACCCATCGGTGAGGCCTGTAGAGGTGAGAAATCTCACCTCAGTGTTCACAGCTCTGACCAGCTCTTAGTGCCTGCTTAGAAAAATGAGTAGACAACCAGGCCTTGCTGGTGGTGTCATCGTAGCTCAAAGCTCAAAGCTACAACTCCTGGGCTCAAGCGATCCTCCTGCCTCAACCTCCCAAGCAGTTGGGACTACAAGTGTTCACCATGACACTGAGCTAATTTTTTTATTTTTAGTAGAGACAGGATCCTGCTCCTGCTCAGGCTGGTCATGAACTCCTGTGCTCAAGTGATCATCCCGCCTTGGCTTCCTAGAGTGTTAGGATTATAGGCGTAAGCCACCAGGCCTCACTGGCCAAGTGCATTTAAAAGAAAGATATTTTCAATATTCAAGCCCTTCCAAAAATTTGCCTCCTATGCACACTTTGGAGAAGCTACTGGGACAGGGTATGCTCTGCCAAAGCAGGTGAGTTCACAGAGGAAGAAAGAGAAGGTCACTGGGCTGGACCAAGACAGAAGCAAGCAGGTCTGTGTGATGGAGGGGCCGGGAGACCCCAGGACAGCTGGGACAGGGAGAGGGCTCTGGGAGATGCCAGCTGCCTGCGGTGTTTAAATTCATGAACTAAAAAAAATTACAACAAAGACACTTCTTAAATCCAGTGAAAACTAGAGATGCTGAAGAAAGAAGGGAACCAGGCCTCAGCCGTCATCGTCACAGTGTCAGAAGGGCTGGTGGCCCATCTGGCAGTGGGAGGGACTAGGGAGGGGAGGTGGGACACAGGGCTGTTATTGATTAGAGCCTCATGGAACTAACTTCACACTGATTTTAAAAACTTGCATTAAAAAAAAAAAAGAACATCACTTGGGAAGATAATGTTAAAAACATGCCTGTTCCATCCAACAGGTATCTCCTTTTCTTCAAATGTGAATGATTCTTCACTGAAATAAAACTGGATATGGTATAAAGTGAACTAGAGTTGTATAAAACCAGAACGCTGAACTTTTAGAATGTAACATCCTTTAGGCTTTGGGTAAATTAAGTTTCATGGAATTAGGCTGGCTGCATTTACTACGTCACGTTGAAATATTTCAAAAAATACACTGGAGATCTATTACGAATATGTTTCATTTTATAAACCCAATGGAGCTGTCTCCCTACACACTTTCAGCATCTTTGGAGGGTATCCCACTGGTTTTCAAAATTGGCAGAGGTACTATCACTTAATCCTATTGCCTGATGCCAGTATTCACACCCCATCTTTGACATGAAGGGAAAAATACTTCTTTAGATCCGGCAACTCAGAGCCCAGGGACTTGATTACCTGAATGCCCCAGAGGAGTGGCTCTGCCTTTGCTCCCCACAGCCAAGCTGCCAGCCTGAAATGGTGGGCCATCCTCATGGTTACAGCCCAGGAAGGGCAGCCAGTCCACATCACAGGTCCAGAGAGTGTGGTGTTGTCTCCTGTCTATATCCTATTTCCACAGATAGATGGACCATCCACGTCTCCACCTTGGCTGTATGAGGCCCAGGTATTTCCCACCACAGCAAAACCGGAAAGAATTGAGATAAGGGAGAGCCAGCCCTGAATCCAGGCTGGATCTGTGCCACACGGAGCGAAAGCCATCCTGTGTGTCCCTCATGGCTAAAGTGACACACCTCGGCCATGTGCTGCTAAAACCTCGAGGAGGAGCATTAGTTTGCTTTATTCATTTTGAAGCCAGTGATGACCCTCATGGGAGATAATGCCGCAGTGAATGCTGCAACCTCCCTGGGCTTTGCACAATCATCAGAAAGAGGCTTTTAAGTTACCAGGAACCAGAGGCAAAGGAGGGTTTAATTGCATGTCAGAGAGAAGGATGGTACTGGGGGCCCTGTGGTTAATGAGCCAGGTAACCCCTCACTGGGCTCTCCACCTGGAGGTTTTTGACGATCTTGTAGGAGACAATTAATTAACTTTTTTTTTTTTTTTGGAGACAAAGCCTGAAGCTATCGCCCTGGGTAGAGTACCGTGGCATTACAGCTCACAGCCATCTCCAACTCCTAGGCTCAAGAGAGTCTCCTGTCTCAGCCTCCCAAGTAGCTGGGACCACAGGCACCCGCCACAATGCCTGGCTATATTTTTGGTTGCAGCCATCATTGTTGTTTGGCGGGCCCGGGCTGGATTCGAACCCGCCACCTTAGGTGTATGTGGCTGGCGCCTTAGCCACTTGAGCCACAGGCGTGCTGAGCCCAATTAATTAACCTTTGAAGGAGGGAGTGCAGTATGAGGACAGGACAGATCACTGAGACATCTACACAGACCTCAGCTAACCTGCACTGGGGAGCACAGTCCTGGGCCCCTGAACACAACCACACCGGCCACGTTGGGGGGATCTCCAGTGGGAGCTGCTGGGTGGCAGCTCAGTATTCCATTTACACCGTGCCACAGTGTAATTGAACTCATCACTCTGTTCTTTGTCTGGTACTGTCAGAGCCACGCAGGTGCTTCTCCGGAGTTTTCCACTAGACACACCCAGAGCCCAGACTGGGTCTTCTGGGAGCTTTTGTGGTAGCTGTCAGCTGGGGCTTGCACAATCACAGTAACTAAAGGGAAGGGATGCTGTGTTTATACAAACCTCCCTCCTCTTTCTCCCTGGAGGCTTTAAAGCCTTTGCCATGTTTCCAGAATGAGAAGACTGCCTCACCCTCCAGTCCTACACAGTCTGGAGAAGAACACATATAACTTAGAAGCAGGCATGGCGTTTGTTAGAAGCTACAATACCCGTCTGTGTGTTGGCTTTCGCAAAACAAAGTACTGAGCTCTAGCATCATAATCGGACCAAGTGTAATGAGTCCACCTCAGAAAACATGAAGCTTTAGAAGTTCACCTGATGATATTTCAGGAAAAGTGTCATTCTAACGCGTTCACACAGGGCAGCCTTGACTCAGAACATGCCCTCCCGTTGACCATGACATGCTGTGTTCTTCAAATATTTGCACAGCCTAATGACACTGCGTTTTCCAAACCAGAATGCAAACCTAATAAATTTCTGACAGTGAACATGGTTTGTTCCTCTGAGCAGCGGAGCACCGGGTTTTCTGCTGTACAGTCTGCTGCGAACGTTACCTCATTAGGAAGCTGCCTTTGAAATAGAACAACCCACCTAGTTCCCAGATCTTGGAGCTCCTTGGAGAAATGGCTCATTCTGTGATCAGAGAGAAACGATGCAAGATAATTAGCCTGGAGTATCTGTAGAGCCAGGAGTAAGGAATTGCTCAAAAAACAGGGACACGTCAAAGCGACTAGAACCCCACCAGAAAGAGCTTCCAATGGCCAAAGCTGAAACAGTCTGAGTGACAAGTTATGGATGGGATCCTGGAACAGAAAATGAACATGAGGAAACAGACTGGTGGAAACTGCATAAGCCACGGAGTTTAGTTCACAGCAATGTACCAGTGTATGGGAACTCTCTGCACTGCCTTCTCAATGTTTAAGTGAATCTAAAATCAATCTGAAGGGGAAAAAGTTATTAAAAAAAAAGACTCAAACCCACTTCTATTTGACAGATTGTGGCTCTTTCCAGGGACGAGGTACTGACCATGGAATGTTACTTTCAACTTTAAAATACTTACTTGTATTTCAAGGTATTTTCCTCCCTGGTAAAACCCGGTCCCCCCTGGCTGTCTCTCACTCTGTCCTTCACCACCGGGTGGGCTTCCTCCAGTCTTTAATCCTGTGAGCCTCTTTAGAAACTAACCACCCTGAGCCACAGCTCTTTTATTCACAACCTTAACTTGCAGTCTCCAGTCAGTCTGTGTCTATTTTTCTTTTCTTTGAGACAGAGCCTCAAGCTGTCCCTCTGGGTAGAGTGCTGTGGCATCACAGCTCACAGCAACCTCCAACTCCTGGGCTCAAGCGAGTCTCCTGTCTCAGCCTCCCAAGTAGCTGGGACCACAGCCACCCGCCACAATGCCCGGCTATTTTTTGGTTGCAGCCAACATTGTTGTTTGGCGGGCCCGGGCTGGATTCGAACCCG